AGATGGGGCATGTTAGAGGTTCGCTGGATACCTTGCAAGACATTATCCGTAACATCGTCCCATCTCTGTTCGACTAGACCGGCTCGAAATGCTTGTCTACGGGTTTCAGCAACCTGTAACATGCCCCATTTGAAAGTCTTGCATAACTACAAATTACTGCGACTTGTACATCTCTTTCATAGCGTAGATCTATCCAGCATAAATGCCCTCTTTTTTTCAGTACTCTTGCGCATTCGCGGAAAAATTGTTCGCAATCGTCGTAGAGGTGTGATGACTCGACATTCAACACTAAAAATAATTAACAGTTAGAGAGAAGTTATTTGAAAATGCTTATGTAGTACAGGTAGGGGTAGTGTAGGTGTACGCGGTCCAGTACATTATTCGTGAGCCGTGTTCATACATTGCGACTGAGGAAATTCGACAGGTTGGGAGACTTGGCGAATATTGCTCTGGCGAATATTGCGCGACGAGGAACTATAGCTATCAATCCGGCGGCTGGGGAGAATGGGCGATCGGGCGGCTGGGCGATTGTGCGCCAAGAAAGTGGATGGAAATCTATTGGTGTTCATCGCTGCCGATCTGGGGAATTCGGCGACTCACCGTTTGTCGCCACCAATGCGCTAGCAGGCGCGGCTAGCGGCGCCGCGCCGGCAGAGTCGAATTTTCCTGCTTAGCCATCGAATTAGAATATTAAAGGGACGGGAAATGTGCTGTTGGTGCTCCTTATCGTCATGACATCAATAGAAGATGTAGAGAATGGCCAAAAACACGCGAAATATGCGCGGAAATATAGAACAAATAAAAATATGCAACAATTTCCACGTGTTTCGCTGCTTCAATCGAGAATCTGACGAAAAGTTTGGATTTCCGCGCTCACGGCCGTTGAAAATTTTCTGCGCTCATCGCCAGATTGTACGCCGCACGCGACGGCGCGGCAAATTAGGATTCTTTTGCCCGTCTCCCCCATCCACTCCCTTGGCGCGCAATTGTCCACAACGCTGAGCATTCCAAATCGCGGGGTCACTCAATCTCCCTGAACCTCAGATCGCCGAATCTCTTCGCAAAGTGTGAACGCTGTCCTAAGGGATGAACCAAAAGGGTCACTGGCGTCATGCACCTCGTTAGGCTTTTCGAGGCGAAATTCCCAGTGATACAGTACAGTTTCCCCAATCATAACCTGCGCTATGGGATCTGTGCTACACGTGCGCCGTTTCGTGAATGATCCTTCCTTACCTAGATCAAATTGGCTATCTTCAAATGGTAGACCGTGAGCATCACCAGAAATAACGGAAGTTCCTGGCAACACACATCGATCTGCGCCTTGTATTGTTTTGATTTGTGGATGAGCCCTGAGAGCTTTGCTCATCAAATGAAAAAGCATTACAGGATGAGTATTTCTGGGCGCTGTTTGGCTTATGGGGAAGGGGGGGGGGCATTTTGCTAAGTCCAGTTTGCATATCTGCTATTTCACGGTGGTAAGTAGCCTTACCAAAGTGAGACGTGTAAACCTACTGTAAAGCTGCGAATTGGTACAGGTCAGTCCCTCGAGTTACAGGAGTTTCGCAAGGTGACCTGTACAAGCATCACTGATCGTGAGTACTTGGTGCCCCCACCAAGCCAAACTGCGCCGTTTATCTGTGTACTGGATAACCTTTCTATCCATTTCAATCCATAGCCTTGCCCACAGCCCACTTCTAAGATATGCAGTCCAGCGAGTGCCGGATAGTCGCTGTGGAATAGAAGCTGTGTCATAAGAATCAGTAAGGTGTGGCACTCATAGTCTAAATAGAACTCTTTACTGCAAAACAAGTTACGTAGTTTTTCTGCGGAATAGTGCTACCATATACGATAGAAATTCCCTTCTGACATATTTCTATCTTCATCAGGATTAAGTTAACTTTGTGCCAGTAGCCGGAAGATTCATAATGTATACGATATGTTTGGGAAAGTGATACGATTATGGGGGCTATAGTATAAGGGCGATCGAAATAAAAGAATCCTATCCTCGTAAAAACCAGCCATGAAAGATATATGAAAAAGCACAGGGAATTGGCCTGAGGGTTGGAATATTTGAACATTCTTCAGGTTGTGACGCGCTTATTTGCACCACTTAGGAAAGATCTCACCAATTTGTCAATCTTCGTGGTTCCTTCTGCTATACTGAATATCCTTTATGCCTGACATACTCTGGTTTACCAATACTGTCCCTTACGCTATGATTTAGTCTAACTTCTTTCGATTCGGTCAGTTTCTTCGTGTTTCCGAGGTTGACAGTGCGACGGTGTCTTCGTTCAAAATGCCGTCCAACGATCGTCTGCAAACGCGCCATGATAAGGTGCCCTCAACTTTCACTTTTTGGACTGAAACATACCGTTACCCCACTATACAGTTTAGCAACGACGTGCCTACTGAAGGTGATGCCTTGCAAACAGCCCGCCCCAAGTGTACATGGTCCGTTCCTCCTTGATCCAAGTATGCAGGCCTCAAACGCAGAGACTGTCATCACTCACGAGCTCCACCAGCGAGCGGGAAGCGACCTACACGCTGACACTGAAGTATCTAGTTACAACGCGCCGCGTCGGTAGAGAGCCCACTTGCTATATGGCCTCTAAAGCAAGGCCGCTCAGTGTTCTCTTGTCTGGCCAGCGGGCCATTATCCGGATATGCCATGCCCTTTTTCTGGACCGGCGCTCGTCGTCCATGACGTGAATCTGCTCGTCTTTAAATTCACATGTCATCTTCTTCTGAGGAGTCACATACCAGTCCAACACTGTACTCATCTCCAGTGCAGTATAATCACGAGCGCACCCAGCTTTATTTGAGATGCAAAACGAGCGCCCACAACACTACACTAACAAATCGCGCACACGCGTACCGAGAACCCATTCAGACGCCTAGTTTTTGAAAGTTTCTTTTCCATTTCAAAGAGTTTTTCTTCCGTGTTTTTGTTGTTTTTCGTATTCTTTTCATTGCATTGGATGATACCCACTACTGGGAGATGTGATAAAGGAATTTGTGAGCCAGGGGTTGCACAGAGACCGCAGGAAGGTGTGACTGCCAGGGAGCGATTTTGTTTATGTGTTCTTGAGGACTCTTCTTGCTTTTTTTTCTTTGGGGAATTACTTATCAGCTACTGTTTCATAATTGAAAAGCAACTATCCATGACACTTTCATCGTGGGAGCTGTCTTTAATGGCCCGCCACGCTTTCAAAAATGGGGAGGTTTGTGGCTCAAATACTAATGACGAGGTGGCTAGGGCACAGTGGTGAAACAAAGCAGAAGAAAACCCACAGGGAATGCTCCATACAAAATCTTTGCTGTACTGCGCTTGTGAGCGCATCAGACAAGGAGTGGGCGTGGTTGGACGAGTTTTCTTTTGTTAGTGCCAGCTCTTTCTTCTTATCTCTTCACCCTCACCATTCGAAATGGAGCGTGATAGTAGCGAACAAGCTCATCAGCTGAAAACCTTTAAAAGTAAAGGCTGGCGTTGCCGTGGTCAATGCGCGGACTTCTGGTCGACTTGGTATTGTCGCGGTTGCGCTTTCCCCAAGTATTTTTTAGCTCCGAAAATAGTACATAATCCATGTTTGCGGACAGAACCATTGTGTCCAAAGTTGGCGGCTGCGCATCGAGTGAACGCGGGGCGTCTTCAAGTTTGGTTATGGATTTTCCATCCAGAAGGATGAACGATGTACCATTGAAGGCGGCGGTTTCGTTGAAGCGTGAGGACGTAATATTTGAATGATTGTTCCACCTGTCACTTTGAACGCGCCTGGAAAGCTAATATAGATGGCAACTGAATATACCGATGTTACAAAAAAAAGAGAAACTGAAGCAAGTACGATTACTGTTTCAGATAAATCATGACCGGTCGTCAAGGCGGTAAAGCGAAGCCTCTGAAGCAGCCGAAATCTGCCAAGAAGGAGGAAGATGAGGTAGTATTCCCGTGTTCATAAAACTTTTTTATTTTTTGAGCATTTTCACAGGTTCCGACCTGGTTCGGGGTGCAGAACCTCATATTTCACACGTGTAAAATGTGTTATTCCAGCATGACATTGAATTCAAAAAGAAACAGCTAGAGGAGAAGAAGAAGTTGGCTGAAATAGCTGCAAAAGCTGCTCAAAAAGGACCACTGGGTATCACTTGTTTTTATTGGTCTTTTCTTTTCATCTAGCAAGCATTAGGTTGAAATTCATATTTTCAGTGCAAGGAGGTATCAAGAAATCAGGAAAGAAGTGATGTGACCTCAACAATTATCATTCGACTCTTTCACTCGTCATTCATATTTCGCTTCTTTGTCCATGTATGGCCATAAATGTTCATTGCACTGGTCCATTTAGTTTGCTTTGTTATGGTGGGGCGATCGTCGCACAACGGCGGTCCGTAATGCGTTAAAAATTGTAGCGCAATGAAGATAGTACTGATAAAATCGGGTACCGGAACACTCCGGTATTCCTTCCAGTAATTGTTGTAAAATAAAGACATTTTTTATTCTCTTGTTTCACGGACGCTGTAAAGGGGGTCGTACTTGGTCATGGAGGGGGGGGTCGTATTTGGTCAGTTCACGGACGCACTACTATTTCCGACACTTGAAAATGATAGTTTAATTCTGACGACCCCCCCCCCGCTCGACGGCTCGGGTTCGATGAGGAAGGACAGAGGGCTGGGAGGGGGGTCGTATTTTAGTATGGAATTAGAGGGGGTCGTAATTTTCAGAAAATGATCACCAACGAGATGACGTGCCCTGGTCCGCACTAGAGGACGTTACTAGAGGACGGACAGCACAAAAAGTTGTGGTTTTTCGTCAGTGTATTCACCCAATAGAGGATGGCTCATTACGTTGATTTTTAGAGAAGATTTGTTGCTTGTGGTAGTACGGTTCTCCGGGACAACAACAGAGAGTACTTCCCATTTCACTCGCGCTTCGCGAAAATCGCACGTAGCAGCGGAAAAAAAATGCTTCTACGAGTTCACGAGTATTCGGATGATAGAAAGCTCCGTCCAGATTATTCGGGCAAGATGGACTCGTTTTAGACATCTTCTGTTCGGATAAAAAGGTTCCGAATTACAATATGAACGCAAGAATAAATAAAAATCTGTAGAGTGCCAAACTTGGGAATTACCTATGGATTTCGAACCGTCACTATATTCTTCAGACTTTCCTTGATCTTCCAAGAAGCATGCAACAAGAATGACCTACGCTTTTGTGGGCACCTCATAGACCTCTGAAACATGTAACAAACCGTTTTCAAAATGGGCATAACAATCAGAGCGTTCTCCCTTGTCATGTCACATGCCGTCTGTACCTTTCTCTGGACCCTCAGTGTTTTTTAGTCATTTGATTATAGAATGCGCTGAGTTCACCGCGACAATAGTGCATTATTTGTGGTTTTTTTCAACTATTTTTCTTGTTTTCTTCTTTATTGACGAATTACCTTGCTCCTGCACATTCGTACCTGAGTCCACCACCCATGTCCTCCCATAAAATAGTGTGCCTTTCACATGAGGATTAGCACCGAATCTGTACAAGTCTTCGTTACTCCTGTTCTGTAAAAGAGAACCGTGGAGCTACAGTTCGCTCTTCTTTGGGGACTGCACAAGGGTTATGATTTGTTCACGTTGTTGGAAGTTTGTGGCTGTTCAAGACATATCCCCAGATAAGCGGATGGGTGGGTGGAGTCGCTGCTTCGTCTCACTGATGCTTTAGGATAAATAGAAGAGTGAGTGTGTGATACGACAATCGCAACATGCCGCGCTGGCGGTATGGTGAACGACGCCGCTCTCGCGTTGTCTTAGAGCGCCTTCAGACTTCGCGATCGGATTGCTCGACGACAGGATCGCACGATCCCGAAGCTGAACGGGCACTTACGTGGCTGTTCGAATTGTATGTTTGAACATACATCGTAAATTCACCACTGATTACGGTCCTTGCCATAGCGTGGTGAATGGGTCTGCAGCTGCACTACCACGCCACTTTCTCCACTCAAATGTGCACAGAGTAACAATCTAGTGAAGTGGTACCCAAGTATGTTCATTCTCCACCCGCGCTACCCTCGAAGTGCAGCAGTTGCGTCGACGCGAAGACGCGCACCGACGTGGCGTGTTTTTCCATGGCTAGGCGCCTGGCTGATCGTGCGGCAGCGCGAGGCAGAGTATGGAATCGGCAGTGGCAGCATGGCCGAGTGGATACGTCATCGGACTCACGAATGCATGGCCAAGGGTTTGGATCCTTGATGCGTGTGCTCTTTGCATTTTTTCGAAAGTGGTCCCTGTGCACTTCAAAGCTATTTTGCATAACTCTTGTGCCTGATAATGTCGTGACGTAATGTTTCTGAACTGATGGAGCCATTGCGAACGATTTCATAGAGATCACTTCTGGCTGAAGAGATTGTCATACGAGCCGAAAACTTCCAGCAGGTGCGAAACCACTTTGGGATAGACATCATTCAACACTATGTGAGTGATGAATGAAGGTTTTGCCCATCGCGATCTCCAGCAT